TTACAGCTATGATCTGGTCCTATGATATGGCAATCAAAAGAAATGGGCCATTTCTATACTAGGGCTTTGACTATTTTCCTGACATCTTCCCAGCTTCATCAAAAAGACATACAGCCTCTCTGCCTTACTGTTGTGTGAGCGGAAAGGTGATATTTTATGGTCTGTAAACAGAAGAGAGTATCAGTAGCTCAGAGTTGACCTGTGAAGTTGTTGGCACTCTCTGACTTTGGTTGTTTGCTTGCAGATATTTCATTACCCAACCAGCACTCGTGACGTTACCTGTTGAGTAATGAAACAGCTACAAGCAAACAACCAAGCTCAGAAAGAACCAAGGATTCCACAGTCTATAAACTGTTACCAGTAGTATATAAATAACCACAGAAAACCCCATAATTCTAGTCCCAGCTTTTGCAGCCCACTTCTGATAGCCTTATCTTAGCCAATGCCAAAATATTGTATGCAGTCGGAGTTATTCCTGACGTGATGGAATTCTGGGAATAAAAATTTGCCTCTTTCCTAAATATGGCCAAACAAGAATAGATCAAGATTTTGGGAATATTAAATAAGCGATTAGCATCCATCGCATTAAACCAAGACTCTAGGAAAAAAGGTTGGATGAAATAGCTATACCCACACCTTAAGATGCTCACTCATAAACAAGAGCTAAGGGACAGATAAGACATTTTTGGCAATTCTGTAACCTCTTGTTCACAGCAGTAAAGGTGAACCTGTGAAAATCTTGGGAACTCCCATAAGGGCCTTGATAGGCATGGACCCCAGATAGGACTGGAAAAAATATTAAAGTAGCAGGATATGAAAACTCTACAGTATGCACCTTTTATATCCATGATAGATTTTTTATGTCTATATCTGTGCAGCTTTTTTATCTATGTTTATATCTCTTACTAGATCACCTGTGATCCATTGGGCCATTGTTTCAGAGAAAGACTGCTGGAATTGGGTATGTCTAGTTTAACGAAGAGAAGGACGAGGGGGGACATGATAAGCAGTGTTCCAATATCTCAGGGGCTGCCACCAAGAAGAGGGAGTCAAGCTATTCTCCAAAGCGCCTGAAGGCAGGACAAGAAGGAATGGATGGAAACTAACCAAAGAGAGAAGCAACCTAGAACTGAGAAGAAACTTCCTAACAGTTAGAACAATTAACCAGTGGAACAACCTGCCTCCAGAGGCAGTGAATGCTCCAACACTGAAAGTTTTTAAGAAGAGACTGGACAGCCATTTTCTGAAATGGTATAGGGTTTCCTGCCTGAGCAGGGGCTTGGACTAGATGACCTCCAAGGTCCCTTCCAACATTATTATTATTATCATTACTATTGTTGTTGTTGTTATATTTTCTTACCTAAACAGAGAAACAGAATAACTAGGGGTGGGCAAAAAATCAGCGGGAGCAGGAGCAACTTACAACTTTCTGTTGGCTTAACTGCAGCCGACTGCCCTGTGTCAAGAGATGGCGGGAAAGGTCTACTTGGCCTCTAGAAGGCTAGTGCAGGACCAGTCTAGTTGGTCTTTAGTGACTGAAGGAGGAGCTGATTTACCCAGTTTCTGGAGAACCTAGGCAGGACTAGTTTCTTTCCAAGAAGGCTCCACACTCATTTGCAACACTCAAGTGGCCTTGAGTGCACAGATAAGTTTCCAAGTGGCCTCAACGACTGTCTAAAAGAATGCAAGCAACAAGTTGTCTGCAAGGAATATAAATCCTTCCATTCCCCACCATCTAGTCAGAGCTGAAGAAGCTTCTTGGATGAGAAGAAAACAAAGAAACTCTAGTTGCCTCTTGAAACAGCACCTTTGGGACAGTCTTGGTACCACAGTATAAAATAATAGTGATCAGTTAAAGTGAGGTAGGGTGTTCTTTTTTTTGTCAGGGGACACTGTCCTTTGAGTCAGCATTGATTCCTGGCAACTGCCTGGCCAAATCATTGAGGTTTTCTTGCAAAATTTCAGAAGTGGCTTGCCATTACTCCTTTCTAGGACTGAAAAAGAATGACTGGCTTAAGATCACCCAAAAAGCTTGTGCCTAAGTGAGATTAGAAATCACGGTATCTCTATTTCTAGTCTGATGCCTTCATACTACCCTCAATACTGGAGTGATATTAGAGGAATAACAGAATAACAGAGTTGGAAAAAGACCTTGGAGGTCATCTAGTCCAATCCCCCTGCTCAGGCAGGAAACCCTATACCATTTCAGACAAATGATTGTCCAATCTTTTCTTTAAAAGTTCCAGTGTTGGAACATTCACAACTTCTGGAGGCAGGTTGTTCCACTGATTACTTGTTCTAATTGTCAGGAAATTTCTCCTTAGTTCTAGGTAAAGTAAGAAGGAGGGCTAATAAGATGTTAAACTAGGATGGTTAATAAGATGATGAGAGTCTGGAAACCAAGCCCTATGAGGAATGTAAAAAATTGGGGTATTTGTAGCCTATAGAGGAGAAGACTAAGAATATGATAGTAATCTTCAAGTATCTGCAGGGCTATCACATTGTAGAGGGAGTGGCCCTATTCTCTAATGCCTCAGAGAGCAGAACCATCAAGGTAACATTTTCAAGGAAGGAGGTAGAACAGGAACAGACTGCCACTTAGAAGTGCTGAGTTCTCCTTCACCGGAGATGCTCCAAGAGAGCCTGAATAGTCATCTATCAGAATGGATGCTGCACTCAGTAGAGAATTGGACTATATGACTGCTAACAACCTTTCCAACTCTACAATTTTATGATCATCTTGGAGGCCGAGGCTGCCAGAATTATTCCCCATTCATTTATGCTGACTAAAGTTATTGGTAGCTAGAATTCAGCACCTTCTGGAGGTCTACAAGTCTCCCATCTTGGACAAACTCAAGAGGTGCCCCAAGGCAACGTGAGCCTTCAGAAAGCTCTTCAGAAAGACCCTTTCAAGTTGAATTCAGCTAGTGATTACATGGACACCTCTCTGTTATTTTTTGTTAAAGGCAATACAGAAGAGGTTTATTGCTGCTTTCCTCCAGGACAGTTTTAATTCAACATCCCAATCTAGTTTACAACCCTGGGATCTCTATGGGCATCTCCTACCAAACACTAATGTAATCCAGTCCTGCTTAGATGTTGAGATTCCAAACTATCACCAAGTCATAAGCTTCATATGAGAGAAGAAAGAATTTAGCAGACATGACTGGAGATTAATCATATTAACTATTTTCAACTTTAAATGTATATGGAAATTAGATCAGATTTATTTTTTTGGCTTGGTTCCACCCACAGCTCACAAAATACAATCCTCAGACGGGGGAAAATGGTACCCTTAATCAAGTTCCTTTTTCCCTTTGGTTTGGCTGATAGTTTTTTTTTAAAACTGACTTCTTTTTCCTCCATTAATTCCAGTTGTCTCAAATATTCATATATTTAAAACAAGGAACCCTTGAAGGGGAAAGTCATCCTCTTCTACAGCAAGCCTCCTGCAGTGTTATTTCTTTCCAAGCCAGATGTTTGAAAAAAACACCATCCACAGCCTTAATAATAATAATAATAAAATAAAATGGATAATTTGTCTCCGTGCTTGAAAGAGATCACACATCAAAACTGCACTGCAGGATAGAAAACCAGACGTAGGAAAGCATTAGTTTTCAAAGCCAGAGAGAGAGAGAAAAAAAAATAATTTCTCCCTGTTTCAGAGCACATAAAGAAAGCAAAATTATTGGAGGGATGATTTTTTTAAAAAAAAAACTGGGAAAACAAAGGAACCCAAAACAGGCACTACAATACAGCAAAATGCTGAATTAAGTGTAATCAATAATCTTGAAGGATTCCTTAATTGTGAAATCTAGGCTGTAAGCTGAAACAATGACTTCATCATTCTGGCGGTCTCCCTGATCCCTGTAAGTACTACAGTATTAAACTTTAAAATAGTCATTTTAGATGCTTAGTGTTCTTTGTGTGTCTAGCTTTAACCATCCACACATCTTACAATGTCCCCTTTAAGTACAGTTTGACTCATGATTTTATTCATTTACTTCTTATTTCATTGCAGTAATTCAAGGGGCAAACGTACCTAATACTTTTTCCTCCTCTGATTTTGCCCACAGTAACAATCCTGTGACATGAGATGGGCTGAGAAAAAGGGATTGGCCCAAAGCCACCCAGTCAGCTTTCATGCCTAGGACAGGACTAGAACTCACAGCCTCCTGGTTTCTAGAATGGTGCCTTCAACACTAGACCAAACTGGCTTTCGTGATAATTTGAAATAAATAAATGCTTCTCCAAAGCAAATGAGAATGGGACGAAAATTAATGGGTAGAAGATCATTAAAGAGAGATCCATCCCAGAACTAAGGAGAAATTTCCTGAAAGTGAGAACAATTAATTAATTGGTGGAATGGCTTGCCACCTGAAGTTCTGGGTGCTCTATCACTGGAGATTTTCAAGAAGAGATTGGCCTGAAATGGTATAGGGCAGGGATAGGCAACCTTGGCTCTTTTATGACTCATGGACGTCCATGAGTCATAAAAGAGCCAAGGTTGTCTACCCCTGGTATAGGCGTCTCCTGCTTGAGTAGGGGGTTGGTCCAGAAGACCTCCAAGTTTCCTTTCCTTATTTTATGTTATATGTTCTAAATAAATAAAAATAAATAAAAATGGATCTCATGATAACTTCAAGGGTGCGTTACTATGGAATTATTTACTACTCTCTTCTCCCTAGATATGTTTTAAGTTTCCCAGCCTAGCCTACAGCATAGGGGCTCCCTGGAGTTTCTCCCATTTCACCATTAACCAGCCCCAATCTGGCTTAGCACTGAATACAGATATGGTTGGCTGTGGAGATTCCAGTAATGTAGATATGTAGGAAGGAAGAGGAAGAGAATTAAATGTTTCTTCTCCATTCTGATCTCCCCCCCCCCCCGCCATCCTGGTCCTGCCCTCTCCATCTTTTAATTGAGCCGCAGTGTTGGTGTTTGTTTTAACCAATCTGTGTCTTTTAGCTTATATCATTTTTATTTTTTTATGATTGTAAGCCTCCTAGAGTTACTCTGAGGTAAGATGGGCAGCCAATACATTTTACAAATAAATAAATAGAGGGAGGAGGAGGTGGTGGAGAAGGAGAAGATCATCTTTATTTTGCAAAAAGAAGCTGAGGATGACTTGTGTCTCTTTCTAACATGGTAAGAAAAAAAGCCCCATCTAGTTTAGCGTCTTGCTTCTACTATTAGCCACCCCATCTGCTCCCTTTCACAGGAAGCCTGCTAGAAGAACATGATAGTGAGTATAATCAGAAAGTTCCTCCTGGTGGTGTATAGTCTCCTCGCCTACCCTTTCTTGTGGGGACAGATTGCCTCTGAACTGGGAGACTCTGTTCAACTATTGTCACTAAGTAAATCAATCAGCCTTCGAAGTGTTCAACGCCATTGGATATGCTGGGATATAGTGGGATGTAACACTCCAACACATCTGGAAGGAAAACAAGATGGGAAAACTAAAGCAAAAGAAAATCTTCTGGGAGGCCTCAGAAATAGTTTAGTGTTTGCAGTTTTAATTTGGAGGAACAACAACAATGTCAAGAGTTTAGGAAACACCTCTATAATATGGTTTTACAGAGACACATTGGACGTGACAGACTGCCAAGTATTGCATTCTAACACCTATCAAAGCTAAGTAGCTTGAACAATGGTTAGGGGTTATGACTGCTCAGTTTAATGGCTGGAGAGTAACAAAAATCCCCACTTTTGGGAAACCAGACAGTGACAAATTTTGCTTCCTCCCTTGCAAAGAGGAGGAGGTTGGACTAAAAGACCTCTAAGATCCCTTCCAACTGTATGATTTTATGAATTCAGGGTTACACAATGAAATGAAAGGCTAGGAGATTCTGCTGGGAAATGAAAAGTCCTTTGTACCATTAAAAATTAAATAATGGAACCCATCACCATAAAATGTGATGGTGCCTGTTAGCTCAGGCAATTTTAAAGGGTCATTTAAACAAATTCATGAAGAAAAAGAGAAACTCTTAGCATCTGAAACGTGTTTATTCAGGGCTATTAACTTATGGAATTCACGGGCATTAGACGCAATGATGACTACAGGCTGTGCTGTTCTAATAGAGGATTTAATACAAAAGAAAAGAAAGAAAATAGTTGTCCTTCAAAATGCCTGCAAATGTTTATTTAATAAAAACCCAAAATGCTTGGAATAAACCATTTCCCTCAGGGAAGTATAGAAAGTGACAAAAGAATAAATAAAAATGTGTATAAATATACAATTATTTTAACATATGCTAAATAGCTGTGTACAGTTATAGCCCCGTGCAACTATAACACAGTGGAATTGAAAAGCTAACTGTCCTATCTCAGACATATTATGCAAAGACCCAGAAGTCTATAATTCTGAGAAAAATGGAAGAAAAGAACGCTGGCCAGCTGCAAGGTGTTATGGACTCATTTATAGTGATGATAAGACACTGTTGAAAGACCTGAAGGACCAGACTGAGGATAGATCCTCCTGGAGAAAATCCATCAGTGTGATCACTAAGACCTGACACCAACTTGATGGCACATAATCAATCAATAAAACTGGCTGACATAATTTTAGGAAAGGAAATGAGTAAGCAGCCAAATAGAACACATGGTTGGTCATGTTTCATACCCAAATATTGAGGTAAACCACAAAGATGCTCTGCAGCTTTCATGATCTTTCCTGGATGTCTCTTAGATTTGGGAAATGGAATTTCTGACAAATGCTGGAGGAGATGGGCATCTCTTAAGATCTTATATTCTAACAGCCCTGAGTGGAATTTTAGTGTAGCTTTTAGTGTAGTTTACACACATTATGCCATGCCATGTTAAATGTACAGAATAAACCACAATTGCCTAGGTTTGTGCAAAATCTAGGGTTTGCAGACCTGAATGACTAGGTTCACATCAGACAATATATCAAAACCAGATGAACCATATTAAAGCTTATCTGTAGTTGTTAAGCAAATCCATTAAATGAATCTGTAGACCAGGGGTCTTCAAACTTGGCAACTTTAAGACTTGTGGACTTCAACTCCCAGAATTCCTCAGCCAGCCAGAGCTGGCTGAGGAATTCTGGGAGTTGAAGTCCACAAATCTTAAAGATGCCAAGTTTGAATACCTCTGCTGTAGACTTTACCATCACTGATTGAAACGTCCATCCCTACCTTATTAGGTTAGAGTCTTTGACCTCAGCAGGAGCAGATTCCTCAATGGTGAAAACTACCCTGCAGTGCTCCAATTCTGGCCCATGGCTGAGGTCACTGATAGTTGCGTGGCGGGAGGCAAGTGGCGGGAGCAGTGGAGTCCCAGAAAACCGGCGTTTGATAGCACCGCCAGACAATGCCCCAATGCAAGTCCCCAAGTCCAGCTGTTCTCGGGATTTCTGAAAAAAAGAGACAGAAGAACTCTCAGTTTGGAGATTGCTGCAGCATAACAGTTCCTGCCATGACCAACATATCCCATCTCTGCAAATTATGTAGGACTGCCATAATCAGAGGTGGGTTATTACTTCTGAACATTGCCACATAGTCTAGACTAGAGCAGTGTTTCTCAACCTGAGCAACTTTAAAATATGTGAATCTGAGACAGCTCCAAGAGAATTATGTAGGTTGGAGCCATTACTAGATCCATAGCAAACTAAAATACTTTTTTTCCAGAAGATATTTTGGATGGGAAAGATAAAAGGGAAAACTCTGGGTTGAGTTTTTTCAGTACTAATTTGTAAATGGTATCCAGCATTATTAGAAAGAAGCAAATTGGCCATTTACTAGCGCCATCTATTGACAGCATCCATTAACTGCAAGGCAGGAAAACCATTGGCAGAGGGCCTGAATTTATCAATTGCTGTATGTTTCCCTACGTCATGCTTTGCTAAGCTAGTGTACCAGTGAAATCTTTTTTTTTTTAGAAAATGGGGATCTAAAGCAAAGAGAAAGACATTAATCTAAAATGATTACAACATGCCAGACATAAGTCCTTTATAATGTTTATAACACATTATATATTTTTCTTGTTGCATATTTATTATAAATGCTTAAATATACAACCTGCATCTGATTCAATGTCTGCACTGCAGAATGTAGAATACAGATGGAGGTGAGAAGAAGAATGCTGGGAATTGTAATTCAACAACTCCTGGAGGGCCACAGGTTTTCTACTTAAATACTCCAACAAACAAAATGTAAACAAATGTTGAAGGTCAAGCAGCCCCCCTCAATTGAAAATGCCTTACATTTCACCGGTGCTCTGCTTCCTTAAAGCTTCTATGCACTGGCTCCAGTTCTGACCTCTGGGACAAGAGAAAATATCGAAGCTATGGACATCATCTAAGGACTTTGAATCAGAGCAGCTGGATAAGATTTTCACTAACGTGGTGGTTCTTGATAGTCCAGAACAGTTCCTCAATTGCTATAGTCCAGTGATGGCGAACCTTTTAGAGACCGAGTGCCCAAACTGCAACCCAAAACCCACTTATGCATCATCGAGTGCCAGGTGGGTGTGGCCCATCGGCTGGGTATGGCCCATCGGGTGGGCATGGCCCATTGGGTGGGCGTGGCTGCAGTGGTAACAGCAGACTGGGTGGGACTAAAAAGTTCAATCAATCAATTCCAACTTTGCAAGAACTTTTTTTTCCAGCGAGAAGTTGAAATTGACTGAACCTTTTTTTTTTTTTTTTTGCACATGGCGGAGGCCTAAAGGGAAAAGGTTTTATAAAACCCAGCTGAAGCCCTAGGGCTGGGGCGACGACGCATGTGCCCACAGAGAAGGCTCTGAGTGCCGCCTCTGGCACCTGTGCCATAGGTTCGCCACCACTGCTATAGTCAAACACAAATTTCATCCTCTCATTTTAGTGAAATGAGCTAGATATACTTCTCATTCCATGTTAGGATTTTAAGTTCATTTTGTTTGTTTCCCATGTTTAACCATTTTCACCAAGCCAGCATCTTCTGGATGGCTTGATACAGAACAGCGATCAGAATCTCCCAGTCAACATTGCCATCCAGAGATTCCCAAGTTGGCTGAGGAATTCTGGGAGTTGAAGTCCACACAACATTATCAAGGATGAGAAACACTGCAATATACAACATTGCACCTTTCCAGTTTATCTGCCCTTGTAAAAGGTCAAGATTCCCTCAAATTGAACCTAACTCTCAGTGATCACACAGATAAGTTCTTAACAACTGTATGGAAATGGTTTCTAATTGCCTTCTGGAGGGATTTTTAAAAATCTCCTAATCAAACCTAATAGCCCTCCAACCTAGTGTTGGAAGAAAAGTCTTCATTGTGGTTCATCCAAGCTGAGAATAAACATGCCAACTGCTTTGGGAAGAAGGTTGTAGTTTATTGGAGAGGAGAGCCAGACAGGAAGATAGTTCTGGCAGCAAGAGAAGTGAAAAAAAGGGCTGAGCACATGTAGGAAGTGGATTTTTATACCCTCTGGAGCCTTTTGTTTGGAGTTATTTCCTGTTCCTGTTTTGAGGCTGACCTGAGTTTGGGTGTGCCCTTTGACCTTTGTGAGTTAATCCTACCATGTCCTGTCTCAGGTGAGGTATGCAGATTTTAGGTCTTTGTCTTCCTAATCTCCTAGCTCCAACTTTCCTGATGGTTTACATCTACATTTGTACAGAGCTGGCTTCTGCTTGGGGGAGGGAGACCTGGGGCTATCAGGAAAAACTGGGCCTTTCTGCCTCTTTAAGATCCTCTGAGGAAATATATTTTTCTGCCCTTTTAATATTTCCTTCTCTGGGGGGCTGACTTCCCACACTAGTACAACCCACTCAGCTTGTTCTTAATCGGCCAGTGTCAGCTGACACTAACACTTGACGGAGTTTGAGGATATCCACGGCCCTGTTTGTCTCAGTTGTCTTATCTTATCTCCTTTGTCTTGCCTCTAATTATAGAGTAGTTCTCTACTTACAAACACAATTAGGATCCGAACTTACATTTCCAAATGAGAACGTTCTTAAATGAATCCTGCCCAATTTTACAACCTTTGTGCTTTGGTGGTTTAGAAAAGCAAGTGGTTGTTCAGCAAATCTGGCTACCCCTATTGGTTTTGCTTTTGTCATGAGACCATCAGGAAGGTTGCAAATGTCAATCATGCGACCTGGGGATGATGCAATTGTTGTAAATACATGCCAGTTGTCAAGCACCCACATTTTGATTATGTTACCGCAGAGACCCTATGATGATCGTAAGTGTCAGGACCATCTAAGTTATTTTTTTCAGTGCCATCGTAATTGTTGAGTCCGTGGCGGGAAAACAGACACGAGAAGCAGCTGGAGTTCTCAGTTTCATTTATTCAGCGTTCAGCTTACAGGAAGATGGCTTCAGCCTCGCCCAAACGCCTCGCAGCCTCTTATATAGGCAACTCCCGGGTAAATGGGTTACTTTTCCCGCGCCAGCACCCGCGCATGCGCACGGCGCTGGCGACAGCCTGTCTGGTCCCGGGCAGCTTTGCACCTGCCCGGGACTGCCTGCAAACGCCCGAGCCGTTTGCAAGGCTCGGGACATAACACCCCTTTCCCCCGGGCTAAAACTACTACCAACATACAACATTTATTTTATATGACATTTTGCTCCCCAGTGCTCCCACTGATTACTGGCTTTTGCCTTGCCAGCAATGTTATGTAATCTTCTAGATACTTAGGAGATTTCTTTGCTCTCTGTGACCTTCTTAGCTCTGGGTTACTTTGTGACCTGGTTGACCTACCTAGCTGTAGACCCTCAGGCCCCTTGAAGTGATAGCCGCTGCTGGGCGTCTCTGTAGAACCTCCTAGGTCAGTCCAAGACCTGTCAGGAGGCTGTCCATTCCCTGAACCCCATTCTGTGTTCGGGCTCGTGTGGGTTTCTGTACTTTCCCAAAACTCAGGTGTTCCCTGATTTGTGCTAGGGTTGTTGTAGTCGGGACTTGGTTCCTCGACTAACTCTGTGTATGTTTGACCCCCTGTAGGATTTGGGGTAAGGTCAGGCCAACCTTGGGAATTGTGTGCCAGCTCTCTTGCGGGGAATGATTTGTTGGGATGCCCCCGGGTATCCTCCGTTGCTGGAGTGCTGTGTGATGTGTGTGGAAAGTGAGTATGCCCCCGGGGTGACTCCCTGGCTGGAGTAGGCGTGAGTGCCTGTTGTGTGGGTAAGCTCCATGACTTTCTTTTCGGAGCAATTGCAGAACCTTGGGACGAGCCGTTTGTGGCTCCCTCAGTGGAGATGGGCAGTAGCTCTTGCCCTTCCCTTTGCTCCAAAGAGTCCCCCTCCCCCCCTGGAAAAGACCCAGGAGTCTCAGCAGAAAAGTCTCGCCTAGAGCGAAGTTGGTCGATGTGCCGACGCAGAACACGACCGTTGTCCAGGGCAACCTCGTAGGAGAGAGGACCTGTGATCCTGGACACAGAAGCGGGGACCCATGTATGACCAGGCCCGTAATTGCGAGCCCAAACCGGGGCACCCACAAGTAGTTGTCTAGGTGCCCTAGGATGTGAGGTAGATGAAGGCAGTCTGTCCGGATGCAACCGGTCAAGTCTAGTAGTAAGTTGGCGCCCCCAACGAAGTTCAGCTGGACTTCTCCCTGTAGAAGTGGACGGTGTGGTGCGATAAGAAAGGAGAAAGTCAGCCAACCTGTGATGCCAGTCCCCGTAGGTGAGTCTCTTCAAGGCGTCCTTTGCGATGCGCACCATGCGTTCAGCCATACCGTTGGGGGACGGGTGAAAAGGCGCAGACGTGGCATGACGAATCAGGTTTGCCTGTAAGAAAGCTTGGAATTCGGAGGAGGTGAATTGAGGGCCATTGTCGGACACAATGACATCTGGCAGCCCGTGTGCAGCAAAAATCCCCCTCAGTACCTGAATAGTCTTTGCAGTGGTGGTGGATGAGACAGGCACAACCTCAAGCCATTTTGAATGGCTGTCAACAAGGACCAAGAAGAACTGGCCCTGAAAGGGCCCAGCGTAGTCAATGTGCACCCTAGACCATGGGGACTGTGTTTCCTCCCATCTATGCACAGGAGCTTGGGGCATCTCTGGGCGAGATCGTTGGCACAGGTGGCATGCGTGTACCTTAGCCTCAATATCTTTATCTAAAGCAGGCCACCACAAGTGGCTGCGTGCAAGAGCCTTCATACGAACAATGCCAGGATGACCCTCGTGGAGGGATTCTAAGACCCTAGTCCTCATTGAGGTGGGAATGACAACTCTGTTTCCCCAAAGCAGACAACCTGAGAAAGGGACAGCTCGTTCCTTTTGGACCAGAAACTCTGAAACTCAGGACTAGGGCAGTGCTCAGGCCACCCGGACAGGACCCAGGAGCGGACACGTGAAAGTGTGTGATCTGTACCTTGTTTCAGCGGTAACATCCCTGGCGCTAAGAGGGAGCTCGGGCAAGGCTTGGATT